AAAAAAAAAAAAAAAAAGTCTGGCCATTGAAGAGGTACACTGTTAATGGTCTACTCTCAGTCTAGAACACCCCACCATGCAAGTTAGTTGGACCTGTATGCCATTTGACTTCTCCTGCTCCCGAATCCTGCTTCCCCCCTTTTCCTCCATGAGTGTAGATTTCTAATGAACATCATATATTCCCAATCATCTCAGAGCTATCTGCTTCCATTTCACAACAGTTGTAACCAGGAGGGGCCTGAGAAAGCTGATGACTCCATGAGACTTAGGAGCTGAATCCCTGAGTGCCCAGCTGGCCATGCAGGCCACATAGGTGGGTGGAGCCAGACAGCCCCTGGCAGAAAGGGAAGTCCAGTTATGAAATCTGTTTCCAGTGGGGGACTATGAGGCTACTTTGTCTCCCTGTCTCTGGAGGATTTTAGCCTACATGCCTCCAAGTTATATAACTCCTACTCAGAATTGGCTTCAAGTTATTATTATTTCCGACTTGTACTTGCTACTTGCCTCTAGGCAATAATTTTCTGCTTGGCAAAGAGATACAAGACATTTTCTTTTTGGGTAAAGGCTACTCACATGTATGAAGTAGGTTGTATCTGCCTGGTTATTTAAAAGGCAAGGTTTCTTTCTGTCTTTAATATATCTGTATTGCCTGTGATGCATATCCCATTGTGGTTTGGTGCTTATTCAGTAACTGTTGCATTCTCTTCTACATTTTGAACACAGGTTTTACTGGGTTTTCCAAATTATAAATCCTCAATAGTTACTGTTGAGGCATCACCTAGTTGCATTCACCTGAAGACTTGACTGGGGCACACTGATGTGACTGTAAGCAGGAGGCCCCAGCTCCCTGCTGGGTGTGCACAAGAGTCAGGTCCATATATGAACCTGTCTTCCCATGTGACTACCTGAGTGTGCTCAAGGCCTGACAGCTGGCTTCCTCCCCCAGGAGAATGACCTGAGAGAACAAGGAGGAAGCAAGAATACCTTTTATGACCCAGGCCTGGGAGAGATATACCATCATTTCTGCCACATTCTATTTGTTAAGAGTGAGTCACTCAGTCCAGTCCATGTTCAAAGGGAATGGAATTAAGTTCCCCTTTTAAGGCAAGTACCAACTAATTTGTGGATATAGCTTCTCATAATCGCCAAAAGCATGAAATATAAGGAGGACTGCCCACAAGCTGTTCATTAGTGTCACAAATTCAAGTGTGTCACATTAGACCCTGCATAAGAAAATGAGAGCTGCCCTGAAATCATATAGCTTCTATACAAAATAAGTTGATTGGCCCTCCCTGGTGGCGCAGTGGGTTAGGATGCAGCACTGCAAGCTGGCTGCAGCTGCCTCAGTGCAGTTTGATCCCCAGCCCTGGAGCTGACCCACATGGTGCAGCAGACCTCTCCTGTCTTGCCCACTGCTCCCTTCAGTAGTGTATTTTAATCTGTCTGCCTGTCCTGCTCCTCACTCTGTCTCTGGTGAATCCTCTCACCGCCCCTGAGCCTCTGGCCTGTACCCCAGTTCTGTATGCACAAATAAATAAATCTTTAATAAAAAACAAAATAACTTGATTGATATTTTCACATCTGTGTAAATAGTCCCCCAAATTTCCTCAATATTGCTAGTAACAAATTGAGAAGATGAAGGGAATATTTCCAGAATGTAAAAAGAAAAAAAAAATCAACCATATAGCAGAACAGGATAATTTTTCTCTTCTCCCTCTAAATTAATTTTTTTATTATTATCAGAGGTGACCAAAGAATATATAATAGGGCCCTCCCTGGGGAGGTGGCGCAGGGGATTAAAGCACTGCACTAAGAAGCTAAAGCCACTTCAGCATTTCAATCTCCTCCCCACCCCAGGTGACCCACATGGCTCTGCAGACCTCTCCTGACCCTCTGCTGCTCCCCTCAGCAGTGTACTTCGTCAGTCGGCCTGCTCTGCTCCCCACTGTCTCTGGTGAATCCTCCCACCGCCCCTGAACCTCTGGACTGTATCCCAGTTCTGTATGTATAAATAAATTAATCTTTAAAAAAATATATATATATATACAATGAAAAGTGTAAGAAAAAGTATTATAGAAGTGTGCGATATAGTTGAGATCATGGCACCTTTTTTTCCTGGACTTTGCGCTGTTTGCAGCATCTAAGAGCTGACGCTGACCAGTGACCGGAGTAGTGTCACAGGAACAAAAGGGCCCCACTCAAGGCTTCGTGCTCCTCTGGCACTGTCCTCCAGTTTTCAATGTCATCTTTGAATTTGTGCTTTGCAAACCGGGCCCAATGAGACCATGGGGGCATGCAACAGAACTCTGGCCACGCCCTGGTGCCATTCCTGCCGCCCCTCCACCCCCACCCCCGGCCGCCTCTGGAAGGGGTGCTGGTCTCCTGCTCCCGAGTGCCGGCCCTAGCAGCCGGCCACCTCCCGGCTCGGGCCGCTGGCTGCCGTCCCCCCCCCCCCCCCTGGGGGCCTGGGTTTAAGGGCAGAGTGGGTCGAGCTGAGTCAGAGTGGGGTGCACTTCGTTTCAAACTTAAAGAAAATCGCTGGCACTCGCAGAAACACCGGGAATCTGGCCGCTGGAAATTGAAAAGCAGACTGGACGCTCGGGACACCGCCCTCGAGGCGGCGCCTGGACGCGGCTCGCGATCGGGCGCGGCCCCCTTAAGGGGCGGCCCGGGGGCGGGGCCTGGAGGCCGCCCGCTCTCCCAGGCTACCCCGCGCGCGCGCCGGCAGTTCGGCCACGTCCCTGGCCACGTCGCGCCCGCTTTCGCCATCTTCGCCGCTTCCTTTCTGGGGCCGCTGCCGCCTCCTGAGCCACCGAGCCCCGGGGCCACCGCGCAGACCGCCGTCGCCATGAACATCTTCCGGCTCACCGGGGACCTGTCCCACCTGGCGGCCATCGTCATCCTGCTATTGAAGATCTGGAAGACTCGCTCCTGCGCGGGTGAGCGGCCGGGCCAGGCCCCGGGGAGGCTCCGGCGCGGGGCCGGTCACCCGAGAGCCGCCGA